ATTTTTAAGTATGACTCCATGAAAGCAAATGGTTTGACTCAAAATGGTCACTCCTGGGAGAGCTGCAGATGACAATAGTTCTAATGTACACAGTAACACTGACATTATGTGATGGATCTTTTTAAAAGTCCCCAGGATAGGGGTAACACTTTACTTGAGGGGGCACAAGTAACTTAGTAACTTAGTCAACTACTCAAGTACAAATGTAACTGAACAAATATGAAATACATGAACTGTTATCATTGATTAATAATGAATGAATGAAATGGGATCAGTATGTAACTAACACTTAGTTTTTTGTTAATTGATACATTAAGTCCCCTCCATGAATTGCCATCTTATCGTGGAGGAGGGATTTGCCCCGATGCTCCTAGAAACTATCTTGTTGGGGGCAATTGCCCCTTGTAGGGTCTCCCAAGGCAAATTGGTCCTAGCCGCCAGACTAAGTGCGATTCATATTGACCCCTATGATGAAGAAAATCAAGGAGGATGTTACTCTGCCCGGCCTGGTGGCCGGGCCTCAACCCATGGGGCTTGGCCAGGCATAACCCGAAGGGGTAACATGTGGGCCCACCACCTAAATGAATCAGTTCTTAATACACTAAAAGTTGATAATGTAATAACTGGCTAATAATGTAATAACTTATCAGCAAAAAGTTATGTTATTGGTTCAGAAAATGTATAACATTATTGGCCAGTTATTACATTATCAACTTTTATAACATTACCAACAGAAAAATGATTACGTTATTGGCAGTTATTACATATTTGGCAGTTATAGGCCTATTTCATTCACAATAAGACTGCAGCAGTGTCACTGTCATCTTGTGAACCTGATTACTCTTAGACAAGTCACACTAAAAACAATCTAAGTTGGGCTTTAAACAAGTTGGGCTTTAAATAAAGACTTTTTTCAAGAGGTGAGGAGAGTATGTAGGGGGACTACAGACTGTGATGTGAGGGGTGTGGGAGGAGTAGGGGTTATAAGGGAAGGAGGGCGTAACATCCGGGCCATCTGAGTAATACATTGCTGTTGCTCTGAAGGAATCTAGTTGTTCCCAGGGGTGGGGGGGATTCATTTGCATACAGGAGCAAGGCATATAAAGTGCACACACATAAAACACAAAAACTCAAGACAAAGTGCAAATACATAAATAAATATGTTAATGTGAGTTAGGGGAATTTTGAATATCTGATAGTCCAGAAGTTAATATTTCAGTTCCGTCTCGTAAATGAAAATATACATTTCATCACAGCTTTATTTTCAAAGATCTATTTTTAGCTTGTTAACTTCACGTCTTATTTATGGAAAAAAATTAACATTTGTTATTATATTTTTCATGATTGAAATTACCTCTGGTTAGGGCTGCATGATACTGGAAAATTCCAGAGCTCATGCAAAAGCAGTGGTGGTAAACTTTAAATTGATTTTTACACATTTGATAGATTATCTTGAGAAGAAACAGTCATTAAAATTGCTAAGCTTGATAAGTTTTGTTTCCTATGACAGAGTTAAAATGTTTTAATGAAACAATCCCTCCACACACCAATTTCACCAATGCTTCAAAATACTGGAACTTTATTGCAAAATAACATTGTTTTTGAAAATACAGTACTGCTCTATGGACAGTATAAAGGTATGAAAAAACCTGACCTCAATCCAGCTGACTATTGTGGTCCTTGTGATGTGAGAATTGCATATATATAACATGCAATGTTGATTTTAGTATTGCATGTCACTCAGCCCTAATTGTGATTGGTGGTTCTTTGTGCATGCATAATCTGCATGTGACTCACTAGCAACAAACTCCATGCATCCAAAAACCCTTATAAAAGACTTAAGTTACATCACATAGACATCTCTTGTAGATTAATCAGGGAAAATGTGTAAGTTTTCCTGTTGTGATGTGATTATTGCGCATGCATACATGCAATAACAATGCTGAAATTATATATCGTGCGGCGCTAATGTGGGTGGAGGCTAAATACCCTGCACATATCTCATTGCAACATCTACCACATGAGAGACAAATACTTTGAAAGTATCACCCATTAGCATGAAACATAGCATGCAGTAGACGATATGCACATGACATCACAGTAGGCATATGTCATTGTGATTGCATCCATTGAAAAGTTGTGTCACAATTCAGGGGCTGTATCCTTCATAGGATAAGATCTACATAGCTTCTAAAAAATCCAATAAATTCATTACACAATGGTAGAATACACAACAAAAACAACCCCATGTGCACTTTCTGCCCAGATACTTGGGAGATGTTATGCTGTCTAATATTTCACCAAAACTCCTCTTAACATAACCGCTTCCCTCCAAGTACAGCTCCCTCTGGCCCCTCGACACATTCGTACCTTTATTGAAGTTACCTTGATCACATGACTACCGTGCATCAGAGATTCACCATGATTCAATAATTCAAACAGCAGGTATCATCATTATTCAACTACATTTACAAAACATTTACAGCACAACCCTGTAACACCCTCCTTAATAAACAAACTATTTCTTAGAAAGGGCATTCCAAAATATCAAGAAAATAAAACTATTCCCATGACAGCTGTACCCATTGGCAGTACCACACCTGAATTCACTGAGTTCTTCAGGATGTTTGTAAACCTGACTGCATGGCTAGGTGCTTGATTTTATATAAATGTAGCAATAGGTCTAAATGAAACACATGAATTCAGTGATTAAGAATTGTGTCCCTATATATTTGTCTGTATAGTGTAGTTGTTAAACACTTGAAATACTTCAGTTTTCCTAACCATCATTTTTCTCCCTCCATGTCCCTTCCAGGGCTCCATACATATTTAGTCAATTTGTATCTCTTCTTTTTGGTTCTTGTGAAATAGTCCAGCAGAGGAACAAAACAGCACTGAAACATTTGTTAGCCATGGAAACATACCATGTATATGCATGTTACACCGAAACTCTCAACTTTTAATGCAGCCTAAAAATGGCGCTTACATGGCCGTGCATTCACAGTGATTACCACGTGTAGCTCACGGCGATGATGTCACCCGCTGTTCTTAAAGGCACAAACATCTCTCTCACTGCTACCAGAAGCAGTTAGCTAGCTTTTTGACTGGTTTATCAGCAAAATAATACTATGACATTATGAAGGTATTTATGATGCATTATAGGTGACAGCTTTGTGACAATTTCCCCTTTTAATAATTTACAAACCTATATTAAAGGTTACCCTTAAGTACACGCTTATTGCTTGTAAATGTCTTAAAAATTTGTAAATGATTTGTTCATCATTAACTACAGGTTTCTACATGTCTTATTGAGGTTTTGTAAATGATTAGTTAATGTTTAACTAAAGGCTTATATATGAGTCATAACTGAACATTTATTTTGAATATAAGCATTTACCTGAACAGTCTAATTGTTAAATAATATTTGTACACATTTCAGGTGAGGGAAAGAAACAGATCTGTGAGTGTTGAGAAGGGTTGAGCTGGGAAGAGATCTATATTATGAAATTGCAAGTTTCACAAATATTAAAAATAATGTGAACACATTATATGCCTGTGCACATTTTCTGATGGTAACTAATTAAAATGATTAAAATGTGCAAAACAGGTACCATGTGTTGAATACATCGAACTGTTATGACTAGTAACATAATGAAAGTTTTCAGTGGGAAAGTTCTTCTGTTAATTCTGACATTTGGAGGAATCATGGAGAAAAAAATTAGTTTGAATACCATTGGAGTAGAGAATCTAGGATGGCTTCCAATGGCCTGGAATGGGTGCCAAAATTAAAGACTTTTGCTCCGTTGTTCCACAAGGTCTATCACCAACGCACATCGGTCTACCTCCCCTAGACTGAAGGCCTCATAAAATTTTTTAACCTTCAAAGAGTTGATTCCCCTTTTGCCCAAAGTATTTTACTTTTTGACCTCTGGCAGCCACAGACTTCACAATCTGCTAGTGCAATAGTCTCTGCATTCCCCTAATTGTATTTATATATAATTGTCTGTCTTTACTCCGTGTTCATTTACTTATTGTCTGCTTTACACTCTAGTAAAAGGAGAAACATGAGAAGTTTGCAATAACTCAGTTTTGTAAAAAGGATATTCCATGAAATACAGCACTTATGAAAGTGTTGTGCAAAGCGCTGTCACGTGATTTACTGCTATAATCATCATACATCTCTTACGTAGCACTTACTGTTTTGAAAGTACGCAAAAATAGACATAGATCCATCCAGTGTTTCTATATACATCTTTGTCATAAAGAACCTATGCCCACATGTACGTAATTAGATCTTTGAGTCACATTATAGGCCATTACGACATTCATCGTACCAGTGCACTTACAACTTATTTAAAGATTATAAATATAATATAAAATATATACTACTGGTTTTATATATATTTTACATATAATACAGGTTCTATCTATCTATCTATCTATCTATCTATCTATCTATCTATCTATCTATCTATCTATCTATCTATCCTTAACCATCCATGAATTAACCCAATAATATGACATCGCCAATTACACTTTTTACAGTATTTCCAAATTAAGAATGCACTTAAAAATAAAATCAAACTTTCTAACAATATTTATATAATAGCTGAACTCTCCAAATGTTTGTGACATTGTATTCCATTCCCTCATCTCCATCTCCTACCTTTTAGGAAATTTCACACCCATCAGTCATATTCACAAATATTACAAAAATTGATCATAGCAAATAAATAAATAAATACTTTAAAATACACTGAAAGTACAGGCAAAAACTATCAATGTCACAATAGCTGTTAATAGACTATCTCTCAATGGGACGAATAACAGCTATAAAACTATAAAACAGATTAAATAATTTAGTAATAACCGGGAACCAATTCCTGCAGCTCTCGACATTCCAAGTAATCGACCCCTCCATGACCCCCCCCCACCCCCATTATTATTATTATCGTTCTTGTTCATATTTTCTTACTAATAGTATTGTCACCGCTATCACTCATGACTAGTACCTGTACTGATGACGACGATGATTTAAAAATATGAAAAGACAAAAAAAGAAAGCGGATACGCCCACCACAATTGCTCCGATTTGATTAAAAGAGAGGAGCCGTACTGCCTGGCATGTTTCCGAATATGAGTACCACTGCTACCATAAGGTACGTAACATGTATATCTGTGGTTGTCATATCTGCTGGATTCGCTGCTCCAGCAGTGGACCAATATACACAAGGCGTGGTGAGTATTCCCCCTAATTAAACTTTTTGCGGACTTTTTAAAACCCAACGCTGAAACACTAGGTGTTAGTACTATGGGAAATCAATATGCCCACTTTTACGTATAATGAGAGTAGGGTTGCATTAATGGCATGTACTGTAGGCTATGTGGTTTTGGGGAAAAGGTCATGTTACCAGAAACTTGACATTATATATACTGAAGTCATAAAATTGAAAGAGTGAAACAGCGGGATAATCATACTAAGCAAAGACATATGAAATTAATGTAGCAAACTGAAGTAATATGTAATGTAAGTATGTAAGTGTAATCCATAATGTGACTTTTGCACAGCAGAACACAATTTCTGACTGTTTTACAGACATTGCCAAATGTTTTAGTAAATATATGGTTTTGCCAAATGTTTTAGTAAATATATGGTTTTGTACAATTGCCATCACTTGGCATAATTTTCAGTTACTTTAGTCTTGTTGGTCAAAATAGATTATATAGTTTTCCACTATAATAATTGTGCACCCAAAACTATGTGTATGTGATCATCTTGTTAGCCAGCACATGCAAAACAGTTAACCAAACTTTGAAAATGATATAAAAATATATTCCATAAATTGCAGTGATATGGCATGCTTGTGCTTTAGGTTCTCACAGTATATAACTTTGTTGTTCTTGTACTGCCATTTTGCTGTTTTTGTGTTATATAGTGCTGTGTGACTTTTTGCTTGCTAAAACCTTGCTATGGTGTTAGGGTCGGCACCGACCCGTTTATAAGTTTACAATGCATAAAAGCACCACATAAATTTGTGTCCTGCATCAAGGCTTTTTGACTTTGTCAGGAATCTCTATTTAAACAAAATAAAATTAAAATAATTCACTAAATTATAAATGCTCTGGTCAAGATTATATCCAGTCTGGTGTTGGGGTTGTAAGGCAAGATACCATGAACTGAATACCAATTCAGTTTGTTTATATAATTCTCTTGAGGCTTATTTTACCGTTATTTTTTTTTATTGAAAATGAGAGGTATGCTGTCAAAAGAAAGGTCCAGAAAGTCACACCAAAAATAGTAAAACCAATCTTTTCATGGATAAGGAAGCCTAACAAGGTAACCAAGAGGTAAGAAACAAATTGGATGATAAATAATTGTTTTGATGGCATTTTATGGCTGATTTAAGACACGAGTTGGCACAGAAACAGAAAGCTAACATAGGACAAAGGCTAAGCTAACCACAATACCGTTGGTTTACATCACCACCCTTCTGTGAACACCCATATCTGGGCTTCTGATTGACACTGAGAAACCGTATCCAGACTGATTCAGGTACTTTCATGTTGTATTGGCACAATACGAATTGGTCCTGCCCATAAACGACACGTTAAGTGTCTGGTTTTCTTTTCAGGCAACCTCATTTCACATATTCACTCTTTACCAGTGTATTGTTGGTCTCCATTCATAAATTAAGATTCAAGAAGTTTTATTACCCTGTGAGCAAGAAGTGCATTGTTACACTTCTTTGTTCAGCCAACCCCAGTACTAAGAACAACAAACACTATAAATGTGTGAATAGACAACAGACAATAAATGTCCATACTGTGGTGAAAACAAGGAAGACTACATATGGTTATGATCTTGTCTCATGTTGTACCATGTAAACCAAATACTCACAGTGAAAGCATCAATTTATTTTCACGTCTTAATGTGCATTTGAAAAGGATATATTTTCCAGCTGGTAAAATACCTTTGGCTGTATTTCTGCACTGTAATGTTAAAAACCTGGTAAGGGCCACGTAAAACAAAATGAGAAATTACATAATAATCGAGCTAAGTAAAAAGCTTTGTAACCTTTGACATGCCCCCTTCAAGGCCAAAAAGTTACCGTAATTAAGACTTCACATCCAGCAAGTTCTATTGTTGCATAACAATAACTCAGATTTCAGCATGTTGTAAACAGTGTGTTTCAGGCAGAACTTCCTTTACCAAAAGAGACAACAATTTGTTTTGCTCTCACTCAGTATTTGTAAACCTCAACATCTGAAGTTTCAACATTTAGCAAGCAGCTAACAGTTATTATTCAAGCATAGAATCATTTACCATTTTATGTTTATACCCAGCTCTCATATTAGTCAGACAGTTTCAAATGATATTTACTATGTTATGAATGAACACGTTTTATTAAATATGTATAAGCATACTGTGTTTTAGCTCTTTATATTCAAGAAAGGAAAAAGTTGTATTGGTTTATGTGAAAAGACTAACGTTTAAAGTGTTTGTGTGGAGAACAGTATAGTAGTATATCAGTGTGCAAGATCATATAATGAGCAGCGAATAGAGAAGTCATTAGTCATAGAATGAATGGATATATAGGAATATTGTGGTGCATGAGTCTGGATTTGAACTTGAATCCAGTCTTGAGTCCACATATGAATGGGCTTGGTCTTGTCACACACTCTGGTGAATTTTTACTCAATCTTGAGTTGGACTTGAAGACTCATGACTTAATCCATAGTATACATATGTCTGCAACCTGCAAGCAACTCTAGCTTGTTTTCATACCACGGACCTTAATCTCCAGGCAGACACAGGTGAGAGTGAAGTTTAGGATCAGACCACAGGGCCAGTTAGTGTTCAGTGTTTGGGAGCAGGATTTTTTTTAGCAACTTTTCAGACACAGGAATTTTAAGCCCCCACCGTGCACATTTAAGCAATAAAATGTTCACAGCACTCGTGTTTCTCAGAAGCAATATGTTGTTACAGTGTGTTATCCCAGTCATCAAAGATATCATAGGCTACATAGTTGGTTACACAGTAGATCTGCCACTGAAAATTGTGAGTGTACTTTATCTAAGTTATGTGTACTTTTAAGAAAACTACAACATGTTAAATAAAAAGTTTTTATTTATATATATATATACACACACACACACACACACACACAAAAGATTTTGAAAGAACGTTTCAAAACATTGTTTCATTGATATTCTTCTGCGTCTGGCAACCTGGGTATGACATTAAAATGCATCTGGCCCAAGAAGCAGTACTCAAACTTGCAGGGAAAGTTTTTGGGGGTTGGTGGTGGGATTGGCACTCCAGTCACCGTAAAACAGCTCACAACTGCTCAATTTAAACAAGCACGATACTCTTCTGCTCTCCGTGGGAGTAGCTCTGCTGCAACCGCCCGCAGGAAGACTGCACACACCATGAAGGGGATGGGGGAAAGCCTTCGGGAACCCCATCCCCGGACAAGTTGAAACTGTCGGAGAGCTAATAAGGTCAGGCCTATTGGGGATCAGGGCTGGTGTGGTGCTGAGGCGTCGCCTGCTGCATGGCAGCACTTGGGACCCAGTTTGAGGCGACCCAAGCAAGGCGCATGGAACGTCTTGTCTCTCCGGCAAGATGATCATCTTCCTCTGCTGTTGGGGGAACTTCATAAACTCCACCTTTCGGTGGCAGCACTCTCTGAGGTACGCAGACCGGGAAGTGGCCAGATCTCTGTTGGTGGGTACACCTACTTTTGGCCTGGTCGGTCTGATGGCTTCCATACTTAGGGAGTAGCTGTTGCTGTAGTGGATCGACTCTTTTTGATGGTGTCTGATGTCACTCCTTTCAACGAGCGTATTATGAGACTCAGGTACTCCTTGGGTGTCTTGTATTTTGTCTCAGTATATGCTTCCACCACGGTGAGTGATGTCTTGTTGAGGGAGACATTTTACTTGCAATTTCGCTTGGTGGTTGAAGGGTGCCCATGAGGTGACACTCCTCTGGTCATGGGTGACTTCATTGCAACCACTGGCACTAACAGGGCTGGCTATGAGGATTGTGTTGGTCCGGGGTGAAAGTGGCTCTATGCTTATTGACTTTGCGAAAGGTCAGGGGCTGTGGGTTGCTGGATCCTGGTTCCAATGCCCAGAGCCGCATCATTGGACTTGGTACTGGTGGTGTGGCGAAGGAGATCGATCACATCCTCGTGGGCAGATGCTGGAGGCTCCTGCAGAACTGCAGGGTCTACAGACATGCCCAGTTTGTGAATTCTGACCACAGATTTGTTGTTGCTACTCTGAAAATTCAGCTTAGATCCAGTAGGCTACCACCTACTAGGAGAATGAGGCTGGACTTGGCCAGACTCCAAGATCAAATTGTTTTTGATGCATGCGTTTGCATACAATTTGTGTGAGGAACTTGTAGACTTTTGTGCAACTGCTGACTCTAATGTGATGTGGGAGACCTTCCGTGATAATACCCTGAAGGTTACCGAGGATTGTGTTGGTGTTCTCAGTCTTCCCAGAAGGATATGTTTCATCTCATAGGGCACCCTGGATATTAGCGAGAGGAGTTGCAGTGCTCAACTTGGTAGCAACTCCTGTCTGTACTAGGAACTGAGATGGACAACTGTGAGGGCTCTGGGGGCATTTGTTAGATGAATCTGTGAGCAGGTGTCACACCATCTGTGGTCTAGTGACCTACGTTCTGCTTACAGAGGAATTGAAGCATTATGCACATCTGAATCTGTTCCTCGGAGACTTGCAGTCAGGGTGGGTGATGGAGTGGTCCTTACAGATGACACTGCAGTTGTGACCCACTGGGCTGGCTACTTGGAGCAGTTGTTTAAAGCTGACCCTCCAGCTAGGATGTTGGATATCTCAAAGCTGATCCTCCAATCAGCTGTGAACCACCCAGTCTCACTGAGATTGCACGGGTGGTGAATCAACTGGGGGTAGGGAAGGCCGCAGGGATCTGTGGTATCTGGGGTGAACTTCTCCATGCTGATGGTAAGGCTGTTCTCTTGGCATTGCAAAAAATCTTTGCTTCCATTTGGGAGTCAGGCATCATCCCAACTGACTGGAAAACAGGATTTGTACTCCCTATCTGGAAAGGGAAGGGTGATCGCCTGGATTACGACAACTACGGGGGGGATAACATTACATTCAATGCCTGGTAAGGTCCTTGCTAGGGTCATCCTTAACAGGATTCATGATCACTTGCTTGCTTGTCAGCCACCGGAGCAGCCTGGTTTTACGCCTAAGAAGTCTACCATTGACCGTGTCTTTGCATTGAGAGTTCTCATCAACCACAAGTGCAAATATCGGCAGAGGTTCTTTGCAGCCTTTGTCAATTTTCGTAAAGCGTTTGACTCGGTTGATCGAGTTGCCCTGTGGGATATCCTGAGACTTTACGGGATCCCCCCGAAGTTACTGGATGCCATGGCCGGCCTGAACACTGGTACTGTGAGTGCTGTGCAAAGTGGAGGGAGAACCTCTGCTTTCTTCCGAGTTGATTCTGAGGTTTGTCAGGGGTGTGTTCTTGCTCCTACTCTGTTCAATGCTTGTATGGACTGGGTGTTGGGCAGGGTCATGGTGTCCAGCAGTTGTGGAGCATCCTTTGGTGAAGAAAGATTTACTGATCTTGACAGTGATGCAGCTGCAGAGGATGCTCTCTATGGTTCCTCTGTAAAAGGTGAGGAGGATAGGAGGGTGAGGCCAGCTTTCTTTAGCGTCTGCAGGAAATGGAGACATGTTGTTAGGATTTGGAAGAATACTGTTTTCAAGTTATTCTGACAGGTTCACAAAAATTCTTTCCTGATTATATGGTGGTTTGACGACACATGATCTTGTTTTACAGGATTGGCTTAGTCGGTATGGATACTTGCCCCCTCCAGATCCCCACACAGGGATGCTTCAGACAATGGACGAGATTAAAAAAGCACTTAAGGAGATGCAGAGCTTTGCTGGGCTGAAAGTGACTGGAATACTGGGTACGTCTGTTTCCCTGCCATACCGCCTGTATCTATCTGGCTCCAATTCCCCATTTTTGCCCTTCTTCAGTTATGTCTTGTTTTATTCTCCTGCTGCTCTTTCTGCATTGATATGAAGGTGATCAAAGTTTTGTTATGTTTGATGGACACATTCCCACTGTATGGAAAGTCCATGTAACCCAACTTTATATTACTTGTTGAACATGTGCAGATGTATACTCAAAGTACACTACATAAATGCTTATTTTTGTTAGCAAATGATACTAACATTGTCACTGACATCCTTTTTATGACTATCTCTGTCCTAGATGCAGATACTGTCCGCCTTATGTCTACACCACGTTGCTCTCTCCCTGACATAATGAGACCCGAAGATAAGCTGAGGAAGAGGAGACGAAAAAGATATGTGTTATCAGGGTCACGTTGGCATAAAACTGACATCACTTGGAGGTCTGTATAGCATGATTGCATTCATGAAAATAAGAGTGTCACCTTCAGGATGTCATTTGTAATACAGCCCTTTCTGAGAACACCTGAGAACCTGCATGGTGTCTATTAGGGATGGACCACATTTTTTTAGTTCCGATCCAATTCCGATACACAACTGCCGTAAATACCAGGTAAATAACAGGAACAGGTGTGGCTCATCAGAAGCCAGATAGGATAGAAATCCTACTGGAATGTAACTCTCCAGGACGAGAGTTGGGGACCCATGGTCTAATAGGTAGGGATCGGTACCGATACCAATCTGAATATCGGACTGGTGCACCTTTTTCACAATACAGTCGAACTTCGTTACAACGTACCTCGGGGGACATTAAGAATTTGTACGTTATAACCATAGTACGTTGTAACCAAGTCCCTCAAAATGAATGATATAACACAAAATGTATATAAAAAACTTTTAGAAAACACCCCTCAAGTTGACACTATGGCATACAGCTTGTGTAGTTTGAAGAATATAGTTCCTATTCTGAATAGGAACTATATTCTTCAAACTAGTTTAATATCAGTTACTCATAGACAGCCGACATAACGCAAAATCCACTGCCGGCTTATCGTTCAAATCGCCTTACTGTAACCTAATGTCAAACCGAAATTATGCACCTGTATGATTCAATTGGCTGAAATAAATTTCGATACCATGACACCATGCAAAACCATGAAAAAACTGGGGCTGCATGCAAGGAGTCCGGCCGGCATGGAATGCTTCGTGAGGATAGGTTCATTGAGTTAGGCGTTGCTAAGCGATGTAGATGGCCGGCAACAGCCGATTCTGAATTGTGCGCGCGCTCGGAAGATGAGGCTGTACGTTGTAACGAAGGTCAGTTTGCCTATTTTCCTCTGAAAATCATACGTTATATCGAAGTTTACGCTGTAAAGGTATACGTTCTAAGCGATACCGGCAAATGGAATAATGCATTACGCGAATTCGGTACATTGAAATTTGAACGTTGTATTGGTGTAAACGTTATAAACGGGGTACGTTGTACCGAGGTTCGACTGTACTAGCTAAATAACAATGTATCCTCATGTTGCGTGCACGGCTATAACTTTAAAGAATTTCTTCTTGTTTCATTGCTGCAATTTCTTCATATGTTTTCTCCTATTCAGTCTCAACAGTTATCCGTCTCCTTCATCAAAACTTGACCCTCAATTAGTAAAGCAACTCTTGAGTCAGGCATTCAGAGTATGGAGTGATGTCATCCCACTGAACTTCCACTCTAAGAGAGATCTGAAAGAGGAAGGGGACATCAGGGTGTATTTTGCCAGTGGTTTTCATCAGGATGGGTACCCCTTCGATGGCAAAGGAGGAACCTTAGCCCATGCATTCTTTCCCTCAAATCATGAAATGGCAGGAGACACGCACTTTGATGATGATGAAATATGGAGCTTTGGAGGTACAAACTTATTTGTATGTGTGTGTGTGCCAATTAAAAGTTTGGACACACCTACCCTTAAAATGGTCTATTTGTACTATTCTCTATTGCATTTTAGAATAAACATATACTATAACTCTGTGGTGTGCTGGTTCTCGCCTGCGCCTGTTGTTTCTGGGATAGGCTGCGGGTCCCCCGCAACCCCAATGGGGATTAAGCAGTCACAATAATGGATGGATGGATATACTATAACTATTAAATAACTATAAAATTATAAAATAACTATAAAATAACATATATGGAATTATGTACTGACCAAAAAAGTGTTTTAAAAATGTATTTGTTGGCAGGGAGTAGCTCTGTGAGGTTAGGACTCAGAAGGTTCTTGGTTTAAATCCTGTGGTCAGCAGAGTGACCCCATCATTGGGCATTTGAACAAGGCCTTTAATCCCAATTGTTCCAGGGACTGACTGAACCTAC